TCCACAACTGGGCAAAAATATGTACTGTACCATACACATATTGACTATCAGTAAAAATAGTAACATCTTTTCCTTTTGATAATTTCAATGCTTCTGTTAACGCCACTATTTCTGTGGCCTGAGCACTATAATTTGATGGTAATTTGCCTGTTTTCAAGGTTTCAGTCTGCGTTACTACTGCATAACCTGCACAGTTTTGTCCCATGCTATTTTTCTGAGCTGATCCATCTACGTACAATACGTTTCCATTTTTTTAGTGGCACGTCTGTCAAATCTGTTCTTGGTTTATACATTTTCTCTGATTCTTCTAAGCAATCATGAGGTTCTCCGTCCTCAGGATTTGGTAGTAGTGTAGCAGGATTAAGTGTTGTACATCTCTCTATTTCTATATGTGGCTGTGATAACAGAGTAGCCATGCAATGTAAATGTCTTGCTGGTGAAAGAAAAGACATTTTTGTTTGTAATATGAGCGCCGCTACTGCGTGAGGCACTTTTAGTGTAGTTTTGTGATACAAAACTACATCTGCTGCTGCATGTACTGCTTGTGCCAGCGGTCTTTGTTTGGATCCATGCTTCTGTGTCAGCACAGAAGTCATAAATCCATTTTTACAGTCCACCATCTGGGTGAACGGTTTAGAATAGTCAATACAGAAGTATCAGTTAACAGTTGTTTTATCTTTACCAAAGCTTCTTCTGCTTGTGCATTCCAAATTAGTTTATCATTCATTGCTTTAGGAGTTCCATGCACTAAATCTTGCAGTGGTTGAACTTTTTGTGAATACCCTGGGACCCACAGTCTGCAATAATTACAAAGTCCTAAAAAGGACATCATCTGCTTTTTAGTTTGTGGTTTGGGTGCACTTTTGATTGTTTGTTTTCGCATTTGGTCAATCACTCGACCTGTTTCTGTCAGTACATGACCTAAATATTTCACCTCCCCTTTCCACAACTGCAGCTTATTTTTACTAACTTTATTTCCCGTCTCGTACAGAAATTGGAGAAGTGCAAGCATGTCTTTTTTACATTGTTCTTGTGTTTCAGATGCCACTAAAAGATCATCTACATAAATCAAAATTTGACTACCCTTTGGGGGTTCAAAATCATGTAGAAAAGTTGTTATTGCTTCCGTAAATATGGTAGGTGAATTCACAAATCCTTGTGCCAATCTTGTAAATGTCAATCTTTGACCTTTAAATGTGAATGCAAACCATTCTTGACTTTTTTCTTCGACTGGTATTGACCAAAACGCATTTTTCAAATCTACCACTGAAAAATATTTTGGTTCAGGTTTCAGCGTATTTGATAAAGTATGTGGATTGGGCACGTTTGGTGCTCTTACCTCTACTGCATTGTTTACTGCTCTCAAATCCTGTACCATTCTCCAGTCTAGACTAGGTGCTGCTTTTCTTACTGGAAAAATTAGTGTATTACATTCAGATTCGGGACATACTTTTATTATCCCTTTTGCTTTTAGGTCTTTGATTATTGGCTCTATCCCTTTTTCAGCATCAGGCTTCAAAGGGTATTGTCTCACTTTCGGCCTAAACTCTGTTTTGCCCTTGATTATCACAGGTTTTGCATTTTTCATTAGTCCTACATCGGTTGGACTATTAGCCCATAAGTCGTCAGGAAGACATTTTAGCTCACTCTGCTCTTCAGCTGTGAGCGTAAATATTTCTCATGTCTGTTCTGTTAAATGTACAGTTGGAGTTGTTGTCGTTACCCAGCTTAATCTGGTTCGGAACAAACCAGAAGTAGAACTAAATTCCACTTTTGGATCGATTGTAGGTTTCCACATTTTTATATCCTGTGATTGCCATGCAATCCTATTTAAATCTTTCCACTCTTCATTTTTTGATTTTGTAAGTGACACGTGAGCATTCATTTGGTGACAGCACCGCTTTTGCTTCTTCTGACAATGATACTGAACAAAATGAGGTTTGACCTTTCCAATAAAGGTGTTCTAATTTAATCATCTGAGGTCCAGGTTTATGGACTGCTTTATCATAGTCTGGATCTGGTCCAGGACTGGTTTTAAATCTTAGAGTGGTATGTACATTTTCTGGATTCATCCTGTCACCTCCCTGTTCCTATATATTTTTGTTTAATTATTATTATTATTATTTTAGTTTTTTTTTTTCAGTTTTTAGTTGAAAAATAAAGGGACAAAGCCGAAAGAAAAAGAAGATTCAGTTTACAATGAATAGAAAATGTTTTAATACTTGATTTTTATTTTTAGTTAGATATTTTAGACAATTTTGTAAACTAAAATTTGTACTTTATAAACAAATGTATATGTTGTTAAAATACTGATGTAACTGAACTCATTGTTTGGTCGTTAGACATGGTTCAGCACACAGTCCCCTCTACTACAAAGGTTTCTACTAGGCTTAATGGTGTTCTCTTTACTACCATTACCCCTGCTGCAGTTGGCACAACTGCCATTTCAAAATATGTTAAAAGGTCTCTCCCTAGTAAATTATGAGGGCATTCTGGAGATAAGACTACGGAAACGTGCACACAGTCATCTTTCTCTTCATTCATTAGTGAGAATTTGACAATTTTACTTAGATGAGTCGTGATAATTCTTCCATTTTCTGATTTTACTTTTATGGTTTTATTTGATCGGGGTAATCCCTTTGTGTCTCTTATTAACGTCCGCTGTGCCCCAGTGTCACATAAAAATAACATTGGTTTGCCATTTACCATAAGGGTCATTTCTGGGCGTCGCGATGCATCAACATTTTCTAATACGAGGAGCAGATCAATTTGTTCTAAACTTTCATTATTTTGTCTTGACATTAAAACATGGGTATCGGTACCCTTTTCATGTAGTCATGCTCTGTCTCTTTCTGTCTCCTGTTTCTCCAGTCACGCGCTAGGTGACCTGGCTTGTGACAGATATAGCATCGATTAAACTTTCTGTCTTCTTCTTTTTGTCGATCATCTCTCCTAGGACCTGATCTTTGTCTATTTCTGTCCCTTAATCTTGCACCAGTGCTCAGAAACAGCTCCGTCATCTGTAATTAACTACAAAAACTCCAGCA